ACTTGATTATCACACCATAATTTTAACATTGTTTCCATCTCAGTGATAATACCATGACGTTTATGAATTTAAATTTAAAGATTGAACATTTTTCACAGCTTTGAGAATTTTTTCTTTACCTTTCATAATTGTTCTGATCGTCGATTCTGGTAGATCAAACTCCTTTGCTAATTCACAAATTTTCATTTTTGTGTCAAAGTCTTTAATAATGTTAACTTTACATTCCAAAGATAGTTTTTCTTTTCTTGTTTGATGCAGAATAATCAGTTCTACTTCGTTTGGATGACATAGTCTCTCGAGTCTCCTTAGATATAACAAACACAGAAATAAATAATACAAAATAAATTGTAGCTAAGTGTCGATTCCGCACGACACGTCTGAACATGTAAGCTGAACAATAGTGTGGGGGGAGTGAGTAATCGAAAGTTGCATGGTGCTCAAACAAAAGACAAAGCAACGAGATTTTAAAATCATGTAACTCCGGGTTCGCATAAGTCGAGGTATTACTGTACTGCATCACAAAGATGAATGTTTTGCGAATTAAATAATTCGCAAAACATTCCAGCTTCAACAAGATTCGCCATTTTGGAAGTGCAGCACTACTCTGTGTGCATTATTAAAAGACCTTCTGTAGTGATTGCAGCAAAAGCAGCAATGCTACTTCACAACACTGAATTTAACAACAGTTGTTGGTATTTGAACAGGTTAGAAAAATCTTTGAATTTTTTTGGGGGTCCATCCTGGATTTATTGGGATCTCTTACCACCATCCAGCTGTCTCATTGTAGTCATACCTGAATTCGCAATGGGCTTGATTGAAAGGTTGTCTTATAATATTGACACAGTGGAAAGAATTTTAAAAAATTCCTTTAATATTAAAATAGACATTTACAACATACAATTTGATACCTCAAGTTCTAGTGGTCTCAACCCACTCTCCTGTTATCCAATCATTTCAACTATTTATATCAATAATTGACAATCTATCAACATATTCAGTAGATCTTGCAGGTAAGAGATGCTTATCAACCTGTAATACATCAAATATCATATTTACATTTAAATTGACGAGAAAGTAAGTTACATTGTAGATTAATAATTATAAACTTTTCTTATGTTTACTCCAGCAAGTTCCTAGTTTATAAAAATGGCTGAAGAGGGTCTATGTATGAGTAAAATGTATTCCACAAATAGACTTGGTCTTTTAATGATGTGATTTCGATTATTTTGTCATTCCAATACAGTTTGATAAGTCTCCTATATTTTCTCTAATTGGAAGTTTGAGATAATTAAGTTCCTAGTTTAATTACTCAGAAACTTAATATATTCCATCAATGCTGCAATTACATATCATGATCTTATCACAAATGAGGAAGTTCTCAGAAGTGGCTTACACAAACTACAGGACATTGTTACAGAGCATAGAATGTATTTTGAAGTACTTGTACTTCATGTGCTGGAGGAATGCTTACCAAAAGTAGCCTTGCAATGGAAACCATGCAGTGGAAAAATGAAACATGGTGACCATGACCAACCTAGCACTCTACATATAAAGAAAATCTAAAGAAGATTAGCATTCTATGGGTTGATGCTGAAAGCACTGCAGCTGACAGTATTCACTGCAGATAGATGGTTGTCCAGCATGCCACTTGGCACAGGAGGATCTAACACTAAAACTAAGACTAAGACTAGTTTAATTATCTTAAAGTTTTTNGGTTACACATCAGAGACCATCACCTACCAGATCCACTTCTTGGATCACCAGATCCAATTCCAGATCCAATCCAGATCTACCAGATCCAATTCCTGGATGGTACAGTTGGCTGAATCATTAAATAAAGAAAAGAGCATGGGTTTTTTGTCTCCATACATAAGTTTACATATTTTATTTTTCTGAAATAAAAACAAAATCTTATTCTTTAATAAGACCATTTATTTTTACAAAAATTAAGTAAAATGAGTATAATTATTTTACACTTAAAAGTATAAACAAAATATAAAATTGCAACATTTAACAAAGAAAATACTTTGCTTCCGTTAATCATCTGTTAAAAAAGTATTTTCTTTGTTAAATGTTGCATTTTATAATTTGTTTATACTTTTAAGTGTAAAATAATTAAATGTAATACCATCAGCCATGATTTATATTTTATATTTACTTAAAATGAGTATATTTTAATAAAATGTTAAAAAGTAGAATGTAGAAAATTCTGGAAGAAAAACTTGAACTATGATGAGATTTGAATCCTACTCTTGGTCAATAATCCAGACAGACAGCAGCTCGAAACTAGGCTGGCAAATTTTTGAAACTTCTGTGGTTATTCAGGTTATTCAGTTGTAGTGTTGCAACCATCCAACAAGATTTTCTGTTATCACTGGAAATATCTACATTCATTGTACAGTACATTACTCACCATATCCAGCCATAACAAAATTTATTGAATTACAGAAGTTTCATTACAGTAAAACTTTGTTAAGTCAAAGTTTAAGTGATAAAAAATTCCCATCTTTGAGTTAAAGAGTTTTAAGTTAAGAAGTTTAAATTTATGGCCATCAAATTTTTCCATGTCCATAAATTTTCTGTTATCAAACCATTTCACAAGAAAGAAAATTGTATATATTGTATATATATTGTATAAATTGTATAGTTTATGGTGCTTTTAAGTACATTGACAAGGTGCTCCTTGTGTCTCAATCAGAATGTCAGTAACATACTATATCAGTAAAAGGATGTTGAGACAAGTTTGTAATGGCATGGTGTTGTGTTCAGCATGGAGCCATAGTATTTATCTTAATTGTCTGTATTCACACAGAATATAAGAAAAAATGTAGATCATGGACTTATGAAAGAGTAGAGGATATGTGGAAAAATAGATGTGAGTTAAAAGTTTCAACTGAATGAGACTATTATATGGAAAACACTATATACTATACTTGAGACCTGTAGAGCTCTGATTTAATGCAATTTAACTTAACAAAGTTTTACCATATATTCTCTACACAGCACTGGGTGCTTTGCCTAATAGTACTATATTTTCATTCATTTCACAACAGGAATTTTACAAAAAGTATTTTAATGTTGTTAGTTTTATCTACGGCATGATTAATTATAGATATTTCTTGTAAGGATAATACCACGTTTATAATTAGTACTAGGTAACTAGCTAGCCTTTCTGTACAAATCCAAACTGAAACTAGAGAGGAGAAGAGTACATATTCTCTTTCCATAAAACTAATCCATAGTGACTGCATTTTCTTATCCTGTATTTGTAAATTGTTTAAGATTTATTTATATGTAATGTTCAATGTTTTTTTAATGACCTTGAATACAAAGACCCTGATTGATTAGATCACAGTTAATGAAATTTCTACTGAATTAAAATATTTTAATTCATAATGTAAGAAAGTACCTCAAATAATGGCTTATTATGATTTATATAGGTGTTCCCCTACTTACAAATAGGTTAGGTACCCAAGGTTTTGTTGTAAGTCAAAAAATAACCTACAAAGTATATTTGTACACAGAATAATCACTTATTTTTAGTGTTTAATTCTTCAATGTACTTAATAGAATACATTATGCTCATTTACCTGCTTGCTACTGCTTACTAGCAGATATTTCAAAGCAGTTTTTTCACATAATGCACTTAGTTCTATAATATCCAGTTTAGTTTCCATGATGGAAGATCAACATTTCTAGCATATTTCTGTACTGCTAGATTTACTATTACATTTTGGAAGCATTTTTGAAGCATTAATCATAAAAGTTTATAAAAATTGCAAGCAATAGCAAAAAACACCATTACTGTACTCTATCACCAACTTCAACCCCACTTCATGAACAGAAATGGACAATATGCAATAGAAATAAGCCACATTAATTATTTATTACTGGCCAAAGACTGACTTCAATGCCACTCCACAAGTGGCAAGAGAACTTCAGAATTCATGTGAAATTTAAAGTATAGATGTTCAGTCAAATTGTTCATATGTCTGAAAATTCTTAAGTTGAACATTTGTAAGTAGGAGACCTCTTATATATACATTTTTCTTCATTTATTAAATCATTTTTAATGGAAAACAAAAAATATATAGAAGTCAACAAATTTACAAATTAAATCAATAAGCAAATAATATTTGTTTATGATTCCTTTTTTTTCATTTATTATTGACTTTATTATTGATCTCTTGTTGAATAATATTCTCCAAAACATCAACAACAAAAGTTTATCAAAAAAGTATTTTTCTTGGGATCAACTAATAAGATTATAATAAATATAACACTCTGCATGCCAATTATGTACAATACTTTGTTTCCAATGGTGGAAAATATCATACATAAGTACAGTACATTTGTAATATGAATAAATTAAATTTTATAATACTCACATTTTAAAATAATCTATGTGAGAGTTTGTCATAAATAATTTTACATCTTTGAATACTTCATATGGTGTCTTCATATAATAATATGATGAAATATAATTATCTCTAAGATGTTTTAAAATTTTAAATAAATATATATGTGAAATTATTATTTGTTTAAGATAGATATAACAAAATATTTAATTAAATGCAAAGCAAATATCTTATATAAAAATATTATTATTGTACTAGAATTAAAATTAATAAAAGGTTTTATTATTACAGTATATAGTTGTACATTCACAGTAAATAAAAGAATATTTTACTATTCTGTTTGTACAAAAGTTAAGTAAGCTAATGAATAATGATGAAAATTCTGATGAGAATACATCAGAATTGTCATCATAATTCACTGGCTCACTTAACTTCTATTATGAGTATCCTTGTGAAATAATATTATTCCATGTATTAAAGCTGTCGTGTGACTGAAACCTGTGTCCTACTTTTTGTTTTATCCCATTCTAGAAACATATCAATTCCTACACCTGTGATTTCTTTTATTCTTGTTTCATTGTTACAAACTACTTTTTTATAACATTTTATTAAAAAAAATTAATTATTTTAATTTTTTAATAGGCAGCATTAGTAGAAGCAATATTCCAAGAATCAAACAATCTGCCTCCTTTTCTTACAAATCTCAGTAAGTTACTTAATGTTTTTTAAGCAGATATTTTTAAAATTATCTTATTGTATTTATTTTATTTTGTATTACTCTATTAGTTTTAAAAGTAAACAGAATTAATAATGAAAAATTAGATATGTAAATATAAATATGTTTTTTACAATGCCAAATATAGAATAAGAATAATGCAAACTGTCTATTGCATTAAAGTTGTTTTTTGGAAAGTATTTAATTAAAAATGAGTACTTTTGACATTTCAAAATGTTATCTTCAGATTGAGCATACACCATTTGAATTACAATTTTTAAAAAGTACATTAAATTATTCCAAATGTGCTATGATTTGAATGGCATGTTTGGAATAATTTAATGTACTTCTTCAAAATTGTAATTTGAATGTATATGCTCGAGTTAAAGATGACAAATCAAATGATTGCCATATTTAATAATGCCATATAGTTAATATATAATAAACAGCTTTATTATAAGCTTTATAATAAAGATATAATAAAAAAGCTGTTTCATATAGTACTAAGCACCAATTTCAACCAAGAATAGGAGACAATCCATGCTATTTGTTACTTGAACCAATTAATTTTGGGGAATCCCAATATATATGATTTTCTTACTTAATTTAAAACTTTTAATGAGAGTGAAGACAACATAAATGAAGAAATAGATATAATTGATAAAATACACTTGTATCCAAAATTAATGCAACACAGACAAATGTGCATGACAAAAATGCAGAAATGAATAGCTGTACATCATAATGAATGATTCAAATGCCTTCTCTGAAGCATGCCCGGTAAGCTACTGATATATCAGTCACACTTCCTCACTGTTAACAGTCTTAACAGATGATTGAACGTCAGAAATCATTTTGCTGTATATAGTACATTACATTTGTCACATGGATGTGCTGCTATCATGTCTCATTTACATGACACTGGAGTGATAGGATGGCACTTTTCTGATTTAGTTATAATGTAAGTTTCAGCTATTCACATTTCATGGTGTTGATTTTACACTGGTTTTGTGTGTAAAATCAACATGTTGAACACCACTTGTACTTTTGTACACTTGTACACCACAAAACTTTAATGTTGAACATCAGTGTACTTTACATTAAGTTTAAAATATATTTTATTTTAATAAATTTAATGGATTAAAATTAGACCTTTAACATTATATTGATTAATATTCTAAAATAATAACTAATTCTTGATTTTTGTGCAGATTTTAATAAATGATAATTTATAACAGTAGGAGATTCTCTGGATGAAAATAGTGTTATTTCTTCTGTCAATACAATATTTTCTCAGCTAAAGAATATAAATTCAGAGAGAAAGAAATTAAAAAAATACAAGTAAGATAACTATTAATAACATTATTGATTTTAATATAGAAAATTTAGTATGGAAATTTGACTATGATTTCATTAATGGTCATCTAAACAAAATTAAAGCAATACAAATTTTTGTAAATTTTAAAAAATTTATTAAAACAGAAATGAGTATTGTTTGCTAATTTGGATATAATGCAATATATATTATAGCACTTGGAAATTTTAAGCTAAAAATAACTCTTATAAATATTATATAACACTAAATAATGTTTTAAATAAAATTTGCCTTTATAAATTTATTTGAAAGAAATTTTATTATTAGATTATCATTAATTTTACTTTTAATGAATTTTGTATTTTATGATAGTGTCTACATTCTATAGCATACTAGCTTACCCGTCGCGCATTGCTGCGATCTCAGAAGAAAGGAAATTCAAGCAAACTCGTTATGATAAAATTCAATTTACATTTTATTATTTTTATTGAAACTTATTATTATTATTCATTTTCATCGGGAAAACATTTCAAAGTGTCGTTTCAATTCTATTTATTTATTGGAGTGTTTGGTGGATACACGATATTTTTTGTTTTTCCGTCTGGTGCGTACACGAATAAATCGGAAGGTTTTTCGACGCATGAGCCGGCCACATACCGTTGTCCATACCAGAAGCACGGATTCTCCAAATCTAGCCCACACACTCGCTGCGATTGTCAGAAATGCGATATTCCCCATTTTTATATATATTTTTAAATCCTTTATAATTTTCATTATTTAATTGCTCTTTCCTCTCTTCCTTGGCATGTTGTGAAATTTCTGATAGTTGGATAATAAACCGTTTTATTGTAATTTGTCTTTTTAAATTATTTTGAGTCAATATTAAAATTTGGAAAAGGGGGCTACCTAGATCGGTAAAATATGCGAATTTCTTCCTACAACTTCGGTTGTTGTTCGGGGTACAGTTAAGGTTTTAACGAAGCTCGAGCGAATACATAATTAGCAAAAAAAGTTGAAATAAAGTGATTAAACAAAAATTATTATAAATATCGTAAATAACAGTTCACAAATGCATATATAGAGATATTTTTTTGAAGGGGGGAAATGATCTTCACAATTTGAAATTGATCGGACACACTGTGCTCTAATGCTCGTGTAAACGCGCGCCATCTATTGTAGGATAAATGTACTTCGCGGGAGTGTATTAAAAAATTAAAAAACTTTCCGAAGTTTTATGGCAATCGTACTATGTCACAAACCTTCGCCAGAGTATATTAAATAACTTCCCAAAGTTTCACGGCAATCGGATAAACGGTGTGGTAATGCATGAAGGACAGACACACACACATACATTCATTTTTATATATATAGATTAATTAAAGATTAATAAATGTAATTCTCTATTAATAATAATAATAGATATTAATGTGATTAGTTTTGGTATCTTTATTTTACAATATATGGATTATTTTCACATGTTTAATTTTCAAATATTTAAATAAATAGTGAAACACATTTGAATATAATCAGCCAATCTTTTATTAACTAGATGGCTGAGTGATTAAGGAGTCATCCTACTGTTCTAGTAGACTTGCGAGTTTTTGTTAAACTAAGTGCTTCTAAGCATGCCATCAAGAGCATTGCTAAACTCATTTTCTTGAAGTGCTGTGTGCAGCAATCCTCCCAGTGGTCTCACTAGTTTGAAGTTAAATCTGCAACATTTGTTTCAGTTGCTTTTCTTGGTGCAAGAAAGATGACTGTCTCCATACTGGAAAAGTTGAATTCTTATATGATTATTTTTATGACAGTAAAGTTATAAAGTTTCAATTACCATGAATTAATATTCTGTTTGTATTGATTTTTCCTTGAAAATACTCATTAGTAAAATAAAATCAGATTTGACAAATTTTATATATTTAAAATATTTTATTATCTACTTAAGAAGCTGCATACACTAAGTTAATTTTAATTGTTAATTTAAAATTAATGATTTAAATTTAATTAAATTAAAACATTAATTTTACCTCCCAAATAAAGTACAGTAATACTCCGAACTTACGTGATAACCGCATAAGTCGGGGTATAATTTCACATATAAATACATACAAATTATTTTTAATTGGGACCGGAGACTAAAGAAAATAATTTAGAAAAAATGTTTCCAAAAGTCTTTAACAGAGAGCTCTTTGTTTCGTCTCATAGCTTCATGCAGATGTGCAAACGGTCATCTCGTTTAATAAGCTTTGAATGTTTAGATGACTCCCTGATCCATCGGTTGAAACAAGCTGGTTATATTTGGTGACAAAAATAAAACTTTCACACATGAGTCAAAATTAGTTAAAGTTGCAGGGGGATGACCCGGTGCATTGTCGATTATTAGCATCACTTTAAATGGAATTTGTTTAGATTGGCAATAACATTTGACTTCAGATATGAAGTGATGACCAAATCAGTCCTGAAAAAGAGGAACTGCCACCCTAGCTTTACGATTCGACTTCCAAATCACAGGCAAGCCAGCTTTTGATTTATTTTTCAATGCTCTTGGATTTTCCGAGAGATAAACTAAACCATCACTATCTTTGGCGGCCTTAAAACCTGGAAAATTTTTTCTCTTCATGCGCAATAAAAGTTCTTTTAGGATCTTCTTCCAGAACAGGCCAGTCTCATCTACATTGAATGTGGTTTGGCTGGTATAGCACCTTCATCTATCTTAGCTTTGAATTTCTCTGGATAGTAAGACTTAGCCTCTTTATCAGCACTTATCACCTCCACTTTCTGCAATGCGATGCCAATTACAGCAACTTTTGAATTGGCTGAACCAACCATTACTAGCTTTAACCTCTTCATCTTTAGCCACCTCTCCAGCATTTTCTTTCAATCTCTCAAAAATCAGCTTAGCTTCAGAGCACACTGTGTTCTGATGAACAGGACAATTTTTCACATTTACTTGATTATCACACCATAATTTTAACATTGTTTCCATCTCAGTGATAATACCATGACGTTTATGAATTTAAATTTAAAGATTGAACATTTTTCACAGCTTTGAGAATTTTTTCTTTACCTTTCATAATTGTTCTGATCGTCGATTCTGGTAGATCAAACTCCTTTGCTAATTCACAAATTTTCATTTTTGTGTCAAAGTCTTTAATAATGTTAACTTTACATTCCAAAGATAGTTTTTCTTTTCTTGTTTGATGCAGAATAATCAGTTCTACTTCGTTTGGATGACATAGTCTCTCGAGTCTCCTTAGATATAACAAACACAGAAATAAATAATACAAAATAAATTGTAGCTAAGTGTCGATTCCGCACGACACGTCTGAACATGTAAGCTGAACAATAGTGTGGGGGGAGTGAGTAATCGAAAGTTGCATGGTGCTCAAACAAAAGACAAAGCAACGAGATTTTAAAATCATGTAACTCCGGGTTCGCATAAGTCGAGGTATTACTGTACTGCATCACAAAGATGAATGTTTTGCGAATTAAATAATTCGCAAAACATTCCAGCTTCAACAAGATTCGCCATTTTGGAAGTGCAGCACTACTCTGTGTGCATTATTAAAAGACCTTCTGTAGTGATTGCAGCAAAAGCAGCAATGCTACTTCACAACACTGAATTTAACAACAGTTGTTGGTATTTGAACAGGTTAGAAAAATCTTTGAATTTTTTTGGGGGTCCATCCTGGATTTATTGGGATCTCTTACCACCATCCAGCTGTCTCATTGTAGTCATACCTGAATTCGCAATGGGCTTGATTGAAAGGTTGTCTTATAATATTGACACAGTGGAAAGAATTTTAAAAAATTCCTTTAATATTAAAATAGACATTTACAACATACAATTTGATACCTCAAGTTCAAGTGGTCTCAACCCACTCTCCTGTTATCCAATCATTTCAACTATTTATATCAATAATTGACAATCTATCAACATATTCAGTAGATCTTGCAGGCAAGAGATGCTTATCAACCTGTAATACATCAAATATCATATTTACATTTAAATTGACGAGAAAGTAAGTTACATTGTAGATTAATAATTATAAACTTTTCTTATGTTTACTCCAGCAAGTTCCTAGTTTATAAAAATGGCTGAAGAGGGTCTATGTATGAGTAAAATGTATTCCACAAATAGACTTGGTCTTTTAATGATGTGATTTCGATTATTTTGTCATTCCAATACAGTTTGATAAGTCTCCTATATTTTCTCTAATTGGAAGTTTGAGATAATTAAGTTCCTAGTTTAATTACTCAGAAACTTAATATATTCCATCAATGCTGCAATTACATATCATGATCTTATCACAAATGAGGAAGTTCTCAGAAGTGGCTTACACAAACTACAGGACATTGTTACAGAGCATAGAATGTATTTTGAAGTACTTGTACTTCATGTGCTGGAGGAATGCTTACCAAAAGTAGCCTTGCAATGGAAACCATGCAGTGGAAAAATGAAACATGGTGACCATGACCAACCTAGCACTCTACATATAAAGAAAATCTAAAGAAGATTAGCATTCTATGGGTTGATGCTGAAAGCACTGCAGCTGACAGTATTCACTGCAGATAGATGGTTGTCCAGCATGCCACTTGGCACAGGAGGATCTAACACTAAAACTAAGACTAAGACTAGTTTAATTATCTTAAAGTTTTTTTTTTAACTCTTTCTGTCCTATGGGCACTAAGAGGGATTTTTTACATTTGATCAGACCCATAATGAAGAAAGCCAAGTGATGAGGGATGTGACTGCACCACATGGCTGGGACAGATCACCTATGAAAATTTCAATATTTCCATTAATTGTTGTTGTCTTATGACAGCAATACATAATTTCTGTTGGCGTATGTTGGTTGGCTTTGCTGCAACTGATCAATCACTACTGATTTCAGAGTTTCAATCACACTTGTTGAAATTCTCAATTCACACTTCTTTTTCATTTTGAAATTCAAATCACATTTCTTGCTGATTGGGATCTCAAAATCAAAAAGAAGTGTGAAATTTATTAGAAGAACAAATGTTTTCAACTGTATTTAACAGCTGTTGTCAGGTTTATAGAATTATACAGAACAGAATTCAAAAAACAAATTCAAAATGAAATGTGTTAAATCTGTGCTGGTGTCTGCATGCATACATGAATGGTAAAGAAAAATCAAAATAAAATGCGAAGCAAAAACCAAAGAGTAAATAAAATATACAGAAATAAGTAATAACAAATATGAACAGAAAAAATTACATTAAATTAAAAAAAACAAGAAAAAAATATAAATAAAAACACAAAACATGAGATTAATTTTCGTAAATAGCTTTCCATTCATGCAACACTGAAGATGTGTCCTTAAAATTAAAGACAAAGCCTTTCTTTAAGGATACATATTTAATATTGCATGTGCTACTATTATGGCTCTACAAAAGACTTGATCAAGACTTGGGCAGAGAAGCTTCTGCACACTTCAGGCAGACTGGCACAATAGTAACATGACATTTACCTTCAGATGTAAGAGAAGAATGTGCATCAGGTGCAAATATGTTATGCTCCTTCAAATGTCAAACCCAGATTTTGCAAGTTGTTTTGTTAAATCATCAAAAGAATAATAGCTATGAAAATAAAGATGTGATGTAGCAATGACATCATCTTTCATGCTACTGCCCTCTCCCACTGGGGTAAATGACAGTATAATAGATGGATGGTCCCTTTGTAAAATAAATGAAATGGAAAAGGGACATATTTAACTTGAAATTTCCTGAACTGTATAACTGTTGAAAATACAAATGTCCATCAAATACCCAACATTTTTTTATTGTTTGTTGTTTATCAAATTTTAATAGTATATTTTACAATGATGATAATAATAATAAATGCTAAAATAAACTTAAATCTTTTCCATTTTTTTCAAAATCTTTTTCAAACTTAAATCTTTTCCATTTTTTTCAAATGTTAATGCCCAATGTCAGGTTTTAGTGTCAATCACTTAGGTTTTATAAGAACTAAAATGTGATAAAATTGACAGTCAGTTTTTTAAAGAGTTCATGATATAAAGAGAGAAGACTTATTAGAAACTTATCAGCTTTCAAAATACAAGTTCAAGCAGGAGTATCTAATAACATCAATTAAAACATGAATTGAACCACAAAAAAATGAATGGGCTAAAGTGAGACATAGATGTCTTTGGTGTTATATGAAAAATTTCAATGACAAATGAATAGATAGGTCTCCATTATGCAAAGAATTTTTGTGTTTTCTAAAGATGTTCAGATGAAGAAAAAACTGTTCGATGAGTTCAAAATTGCAGGTTGAAAGTGACAGATAACCTGTAAGATTGTATAATCTGCAACTGCTTTCAAATTTACTCTTAAACATAGATAGCTTATAGGTTGCTTAATTGAAATTATTGTAATCAAAGACATAAATAATTTATTTTAGATTATTTTGCTTGATATATATTATTTCTAAAATAATATTAAGATTCTTTTATTAATATACTTCTAAATGTATATTGAAAATTTATGATTAATGATTGAATAAAATTTATTAATGCAATTTTTATAGATCATTATTCCAGCCTGGAGACACAATAAGTCCAGCAGTTTATGTTCCTTTATTAAAGCAACTATTTGAAGACTTGACTAATCCATCAAATGTTGATCTTTCTGATGTAGAATTTCATTCTTCTGGTTTCACAGATTCTTTAAAATCTAGATTCAGGTACATCTACTATTTATATACTTATTTATTATTAATTTTTTAAGACTAATTAGGAACATGTCAGTTTATATATTAAATTGAAAACCTTCTGTCTATTTGTTTCATTTTTTAGTATGTTTATGAATATTGCAAAACCTAAACCTACAGATAATCCATGCATCATAGTATTTGTTTTGGGTGGAATCACAGCAACAGAAGTTCATCAAATTAGAGAGATTTCAGCAAATTCTTCTTATGAGGTTGTCTCTTCATTATTATTTCTATAGGCATATTAGTTATTATTTTTTATTAATTTTGCTTTGTTTCTTATAGGTAATTATTGGTAGCACAAGACTTGTTACTCCAAATGATATAATAGAAAAAATTTTTAAAAATCCTGTTTATGAGAAAAATTGAAATTAAAAAAAAATTATTTTTTATAACAAGTATTTTTATTAATTATATTAATAAAAATGTACAATAATGATTGATTATAAAAAATGTAATGAACAGACAGGAACATGGATTTAGGTGTATCATCATCAGCCTGGTCTTATTTATAGTTGCATTTCAATTTAGTTATATATATACAATTCTATTTATACAAGAAATTTTTTACAAGGTCTTGTTTAACATATTAAAAAAATTTTTTTTTTGTTTTAATTAAGAAAAAATTTTCGTACTTCCTTTTCTAAAAAATATCTTTTTTTTTTTTTTATTTAATTTGTATTTAAAGCTGCTACACACCTGCAAATAAAATTTAAAATTGGGTTTTTTTTTTTTTTTTACTCTTTCCACCATGTGAGCATTAAGAGGGCTTTTTAATCATATCCATCTTGGGTTCGAACAGGTCTACAATAGGGATGACAGAGTAATGAGAAATGGAGCTCCTCATGTGTTTGTGCCTCTGTCTGGTGCTCACATCCCCATATGCAGTAATCTAATAGAGGTAGGTTATGTGCTGTTAGGATATTTTTTGCTCAAAATGACCTCCAAAATAAGCTTTGTAAGTGGCTGGACATTATCCTGAATCAGCCTGTATATCAGTGATAATATATGTGGTATTTTCATTTATTTAAAAAGAATTCAATTCTAAATATTGAACAAAGGAAATAAATTACATGCAAACGTAAAACAAAACTTTAAAATTATAATAATGTATAAGCAAACAATAACTACTACCGTAATAATAGAAAGTCGTCATGAGAGGTATTGACCAAGTCTTATGTTGTCTTATTCCATTAATCCAATCCAATTGAATCCATAAAATGAATGAATTCTCGTAGAATTGTAAAATCAGTTACTCATTGAAAATGTTGACACAAACTTGTTTGTACCATTAAATAAAACTTTTAACAACTGGAACCATGTCAAAATATGGCTAAGATTAGGAAATTGTTTGGTAACTGACTGGAAGTTTAGACTATTAAAAAAAAAAAAGGTCACTATATGTAAAAATGTTTATTTTCTGGTTTTGCAAACTGTTGTTTTAAAGATATTAAAACAAAAATATTAAATAAGCTTCATTTTTATTTCAAAAAGAATTAGCATTAGCTGTAAAATCAGTAATATTTTTTGTATTGGTTTTTTGTACTGTTTTAATCTGATATGCTAGGAATGAACACCACATTTTTGAGAACACATTCGATATATTGTTTCACTTCAAACCCATAATCTGATAAACCGTGCTTGTGCTCTATTGCATTATCAGTAGTTATTTCAATACTTTCATATGAATTGTCATCTGCATCCACAGTATCAGTTGTCTGAAAGATCAAAAGACTGCTATCACTGTCATCATCATCACTTATGTCATGTTCACAAACCTGTAAATTTTCATCAACATTTGTTAGGTCATGTAATTCAGTTGTAGTTGGTAAAATATCAGCATCTACAAATTCTTTTTAAATTCTTTTTAATTGTAAGAGATTTCACTGACATTCAAGGTTTATAACACAGTTTTAAAGTAGCCAATAAACTTGGTTACCACATGGTTTCTGTTTCTAATCGATGTAGCATTTCTGTCAAAATCAGTCTTCTGTTCTGGATTACTCCTTGATCCATTGACTGAATGAGTGATGTTACATTTGCTGGTAAGTAATCAATCAATGTTAAGATTTTTGGAGAATTGTCCATCATTATAGGGCTGTTGTAATTCTTTTTTCAATGACCAAGCCATTCATAAAACAAAGTCTGAGTCATCCAAGCATGTTGCTCTTTACAGTGCAAGAAGAACTCAAATGTTTTTAAATGCTTGTGGATTTTGCTTTGACCAATTACAAGATTTTTTTGTTTTTCATTTCTTGTCATATTAGCACAGTAACTCTATCTTTTGCTTATTTTCCTCCTTTACAACGGATGCCATAGAGAGATATGGTTTTTGTTGTAATTTATAATTATTTGCTTTTTGTCCAATATTGTAATAAATCTAAACAGCTATATGTAATTTGCTGTAAATTTAAAGACTTATCATACTACAATTTTCAATCGGATAGCTCACTGAGATTTTATTAAACCAATATGTGCATTTTGGGCCTTATACTCTTCCTCGGTTATAATTCAAGTGTTTTCGTGTTTTTTAATTTGTATTTGACATTAAATTTTAATTTACAAATTGTATCCTCCTCCTAGTTTCTACGTCATATAAATATCTGTTCTGCTACAATATAATTCAGGTATTCTTGTATCAATATTTCCCAACTTGCATCTAACATTCAATTTTAATTCACAATTGGTATCCATCTCCAAGTTTTAATGATATTTAAATACTGTATCATCAGTGGCGTGCCGTGACATTTGATGATAGGGAAGCTGTGTTTCTGTAAGAAGCCGACTTCCAGGGGCAGCCAGTCAGTGATGGTCTAGAGCAGGGGTCGGAATTAGCGGCTCTTTGCATAGACGTTTGCGGCTCTTCGGACATAAACTCTAATTTCATCTTATCTCATTTCACCGCAGCCTTGTAACTTATGAGTTTATGAGATAGAGCCGCCGAACAAACTTCGACTTGTTCTCCGTCCGCACATGACCACACTCGCGTTGATCAATATGAGTCGCATAAGAGTGGTAGCATTTGAAGCATATCTATATATATAACCTATTGAATGCGTGTCCGTCCATCCGTGTAACGTTATGCCGAAAACGGCCACTAGAGGCGCCTCTGTCGTGTGTCGTATTTCGCACATTTAAATTAATATGCGGCTCTCTAGTACTTTTGTTATCCTGTTTTCATGACAATTTGGCTCTTCTCACTTGACAAACTGCCGACCCCTGGTCTAGGGTCCATTCGTATTTGTTTGTTCGATAAGCCAGTAAAAACCGTAGACTTCTCTAAATGTATTTTTAATTAATAGATTATCTAACGCACTTAATAAATAAGCAAGTTCAATATAATTAACTCTGTTATATTAGATTTAATAGATTCTCTACGCCCTCTAAATGCCAATTCTCGCTTCGATAACATCTACTAATTAAAATATATCTATTAGCCGTAACTATCTTGTTATAATTTTCAATATTTATTTTATATTGTGTACTAATGTTAATAATGGATTTGTCTCTGATCACTCAGTCATTTGATTGCATGTACAGTACAGTACAGTACATAGGCGGAAAAACATGCAAGTCCTTCTCTATCCAGGATTATAAGGTATACGATATATACTTACATTTTAAACAAAACTCTTCCCAACGCTGATTTTAAATCGCTTACCATCTCTTCGCACTCATATTCAATATTCTTTTCATTTTTTGGAGTTTCTCAAGCTATTAACTTACTTAATCTCGAGAATGGAGTTCGATACATGAAACTTAAGACCAAATATAGAAAGCTTAGGGGCGGCATGTCCCGATTAACTATACATCATTCAAAAAGTTCTTCCCCGAAAGGAGTTAGATAACGACCGGCAGGAGCCAGTTGATTATTATATTTAAGTACGAAAAATTATATTTTTTAGAGCACTATCGGCCGCCAGCGTGCATGCATGCGCTGCATACCTACCAAAACCGGCCCCGAGTCGATCCAAGCGTGACTTTGTCGGCCTCCCATCCATCTTTCCTATGTGTTATATGTATAACCTTTGGCCCAAGTTTGGTTAGATTTGTTGAAATCCGGTCGCGTTAGAAATAATTGGCTATTAAGATCCTAAAACGCGTCGTGAATAAAATGGTCACCGAAATAATATATTGTGTAAGAGATATGGTACATTGCAGACCAACTAAAAACAATTTATGTGCAAGTGTCTAGTGTACAATAAGAAACTGTTTATATGGAAGTGTCGCTACTTGTTATACTTTCAAGACCTAGTATAACAAGGTGACGGCTGGATGTTTGAGCGGTTAAGACTTCGGTCTACCGCTCTGACATCGATTCGGGCTGTTGAAGAACCCAGGGCGGTCTGTCAAGTCCCGTGTCATACAGTCCTGCAGCCCACATCGTGGATCTTGAGAAACCAAAAATGGGTATAAAGATTAAGATCTTTAATGATCTTAAGTAAGAGTTAGCAATACTACGAGCGAGATTTGTGCGCAGATAATTTCTTACCACACTAAATTTAACAGAAAAATTCATCACAAAACGATTATTGATGCTAATGTCTGAAATTCTATTTAATCCATGCAAGATGTGTGATTACCAGAGCCCCTTCGGCCGCCAATTTAAAGTGTTTTAATCTTTAAAATTGGCGTTTCCACTTCCCGGGACGAGGACCCAGGGGTTGGATTTGTGGGAAGCGTGTGTTCGGGTTGTTTCATTGTGTGGAATTACACAGAACGTGGCGCTTGACGTGTAAGTGCGTGAGTGCGAGAATTCGAGTAAAGGTTAAACGGTGTATATCTTCGTGTACAGTGATGTTATATCCGTGTGTGTGTGTGTGTGTGTGCGTGCGATCCAAGAACATCTTCGGCATGTCTAAAAACAGAAAAACAGTAAATTACGATACGAGAATGAGACGTGTTAAAAAATGAAACGAAAGCGTTCTTACCATCGGAGATTTCGGAAAACATTCACTTGTACGATAAATGGCCACTTCGTCCTCTTCGTGGTAAAGTTGGGGAGGGAGATCCTTCTCCCTCCCAAATGTTCCTACAAAACACAAAGACAGTGAGAAAAGGAGAAGTTGATTCATTTATTATCTAAGGTCAACATTATTACCTTTATCAGATAGTCTTTCTTCCCGAACAGTGTCATGAGGAGAGCGAAGGACCTGACCTAGCCTAGCCTAACCTAACCTAACCTAACCTAACCAGAAGCTCAATCCTCGTAACAGCTGTTTGGGAAGAAAGGTCGGCCGAATGTCGCGTCCGGTGAAGAAACGTGTCAAGTCCGGGTGGTCACAATCGGAAGTCAAATCCGTTGTCGTCGATCGAGTGTCACGTTCGGGAGACAAGTCCGTGAGAACATCCGGGTAAGAGAAGGCCACGTCCGAGTAAAGAGGTCATGTCCGGG